TTTTTAATTTCATAGTCTTAAAGCTTGGTGTGTGGCAATCATTCGGGACTTATGTTGCTTCGGTTTTTAGTAAAGTTTAGGAATTCTCAGCAAACTTTGATATTGCAGCAACCACATTTTGCTCCTCTGTCCAGCAGATTTTTTATGTAGTCCTTTTTTTCAAAAGTTAGTGTTCTTTTAGCAATTTAATCAACTGCTTTCAAAGCATCAACTGAAAGGACACCCCGAAAGTGAGAAGCTATTTACAGAACGATAGGACCAGAAAACAGTGCTGTTATCGAAGAAACTGCCAAAGCATGTGCAACTAAGGCCCAACAATGCGTATTGTCACATACGTATGTAACTTTTATGGCCGTAATTTAAGCACAATTCGAAGTAATTCTCGGTGAAAGCTCACGAAGGGGAAAAAAAGAAAGCAATTTTCCTCTATCAGCTACATTTTCACAGTAGCACAGTTTGTAGAGGAAAACGGAGAACATAAGATTTCTTTATTTTTTCTATTCGCCGATTTCAAAAAAGTCAGTGGAACAAAACGTTACTGTACAAGCTTGCGCGAATTAATGGGTCGATTTAGTTCGGATCCAAACTGTCAAGGCTCAAAAAAGAAAAAAAAAAGCCGCCGGTGCACTCTTTCGAAACAACGCCAGGTGTCCCCATCTCTTTACTTACTCCTCACTCTTGCCAAAAAATTCCACTTGCTACAGTGCGTAACCCATCGAAAATGAAAGTCCTGCAGACTGCCGGCACGCTTTTGGACCAAAAGCATACAGTCGGTATGGATCTGGAAGGAACCAACAATTCAGTCGAAAACGACGGAAAGCAGGCCACAGCCTCATCCAGAGATTCCAAGGCTGAACGACTTTTAACCGTCCCAAATTCCAGAGCGTTTCACATACTCTTAAAGTACCAAAATATGATGGCACTCACCATTTTGATACCACGGGTTACAAGAGCCTACAAACTTAAAGCGCTGTCAGTGGTTGAAACGACGAGACAGATCACAGCATAAAGATAAATGGCTAGCGCACCGAATGCCGGTGCAAAGATGCGTTTTTCGCATAGTTCTCGCAGGTTTTTGTAGCTAACGGCACCGGTCTTTTCTGCAGAAGCTTCTAGCTAAACGAATTGAGACTACCCATTAG